AGAGAACAAACGGTGTATAAGCAGGTAGATCAGTTACACTGTGTGACATTAATTATATAGAATGATGCACTTCCAAATTAAAAAAACAAACAAAAACAACCACTGGGGTACCTGGATTTTTACATTTAACGTGTTACCTTATACTGGCAAAGAAATACAGAATGTCAAATGCACAAAATGACCAATTACTCTTTTCTTTCCCGGTTCGGACATGCGTGTGGCATAGTCGTCTGGCAGCTGAAGATAGTCCTCCAGCCCTGCCATGTGTTCACCTTCACGTTTCCTCTTCCCACCGCTCACAAGACCGTCCAACTTGTCTGTATAAAGAAGGAGTCACCTCAGATAATCTCATCTTAATATTCAATAATACATTAAAATCCAAATGTAGTCAAGCAGCATCTGTATGAGCAATTTCTACTTCACATACACACACACACACACACACACAACAACAATCTGGCAACTGCTCAAAAACAACAACACTAGTACTATAAAGAGAGGGGAGTGTTTCCTGTTCACTCTGCTGGCTTTAGATCTGCAGAAATTACATGTTTGCACTTACATTCATATTGGGATAAAAAATAATTATGTGGCAGAGGAGGGACACTTCCCCCTTTTTGGGTTTACAAGCAGAACCTGGGTGTATTTTTTTCTAGTACATCCACCCAATACAGTAAGACATGTTTTCTTAACTTTATTTAAGGGTGTTACATTCTGAAGCATCCTCTGATTTACAGTCACAACATGAATAACATAGGCTGTCATCATGCAGTGTGCACAGAGAGAAAAGTCATCAGCTGCAATCGCTGATGGACCATTTCTCCTAATGCACGTCACTATAGATGCACAGTTATAAAACATCATATATCAAACCAGTACCTTCAAGCTTGAAATGCATCACATTGGGGAAGAAGCTCCACCAGTATATTACAGAAGTAAAAGCTTGGGTAATCAGTCAAAATAAATACTAACAAATGGGAATACCCACCAAGTTTTGCCTCCGACGTGTCCATCTCCCATTTGCTTTTCGGAATGTAGCCCTATATTGTATAAAGAAACACTGCAATGGTTAAACATTTGTGTATTACAGGGATAGGGGAAGGAGAGAGGAAGTGGGGGACATGGGTCGGCTGAAAAACAGAGGACAGTGGTTTATCAGAAGTTAAAAGACAACGACAACTGAATGATGAGTCTGCATGAGAATTATCCAGTTAAGACATACAGAATAATGTAACACTGGCATGCAAAGATTTTCATCTTGCAAGTTGAAACAACAACTAAGCCTTTGTTCACAGAAACATGCAAAAGAAAGGTAAGAATGAACAACAACTTTGCTCTGCTTTGGAGAACACAAATACTGTGCCAGAGTGCCTCCTTAAAAATAAAAAAAGCTAGCAGTTCAATCTCTATTTGTGTAGTTTGCCTGTGTGAGTTGAGGATCATCTGATCAACACATTTTTCATTCACTCCTGATTTGTTTTGCTCCAATTTTTCCCAACTAACTTCACAAGAGCAGCACCCCTGGGTCTGAGTCTGCAGCACTGATGCTCAAACATTTACTGTACATATCAGTGTTAACATGAAAATGTTCATGGTCAACACAAACCTTTTTCTAAATCAGTCCTCAGATGCCAAGTAACACTCAGTGCAATGTGGCTGACTAACCAGCAGCTAATGGCTGACAGTCCACCATCAGCTCTAGCCAGTTCCTGAGTGAGGACAAGCTTCACCCCATAACCCTCAAGACCCAATTTCAGAGGTTAGATGTAAACTGCACCTTTTCAAATATTAATTATCATTAACCTGAATCAGTGTCATTTTTAGAAAACAAAACAAAACAAAACAAAACAAAAACATTTTAAGTGCAATTAAACCTTGCATGATCTTTTTATTTTTATTTGGGGGGAGTTTTCTCAGATGGTCTAATTGTGAAAGTAAAGCAACACAAGTCAAAATTATGATCACTGTTCATTTGAAGGACTGGCACCTTTTATTGCAGCTGATCTGGTGTTCATATAAGAAAACAGGCCAAAGACAACCTTAACTACGAAATCAAACCCGATCAAAATTTTAGCTCTATTGTCACAGAGACTCGAATAAGAAAAGTTCATTACAGTTGCATATGCAGTTCCAGTAAAATGCCATGATTAAACAACAGGTTTGCTGATTTCTTGTATCCAAAAAGCACATTTTTAGGTAAATTTATCTTTTTTGTTCAAATATACTGACTTATGTAATTGACAATTTTTGTACCTGATGTGTTTTAATTCCTTATTGTTTAATACTTTAAGTGTTTGTGGTAAAACCTGTCTCTGAAATACAAAATATGTAACAACTGCACAAAGGCCCACACGTTCCATTAAAAACAACCAACTATAACATATTAACCTAGTCCAAGTTCAGGTGCTCTGGATTTCAGAACTGGAATGGTGCCGTCACAACAACAACAGACAACATCTGACCACAATTCACCTGTGACGTGCGGTGTGGTCAGTTAAAATTGCTAAAATAAACAGCATTTATTAACATTTTACCAAGGCAGTAGAATGATGGTGCTACAGCAAAGTAATAAGAATTACTATTGATTTCTGAGAAGAAAATAATTTTAAAAATGTTAAAGTTACAGTAATCTCATCGGATGAATTAACAAAGCATCACCTTAACATGTGTTATGTATTAACTCCATATAGAAGTTTTTTAAATGCATGTCAGTTAACTTAAGCTTTCAATTGTAGCTTTTATTTCCTTGTTGCGACTGAAATAAGCCACTTTGTACAATTCTCTTTTCTTTATATGAAACATCAATATAAATTATCTTTCTTAAAAACCAAAGAACATTTATTTTGAGTTGTGTATCCCTTAAACCCCCACCCTCCCAGCTACCCTGCATTAAAAAACAGTACACATACAGGCATATTTGAGGATTATTAATCATCAAAATATTTTGGAGGTAATCTTTTCCTTACAGGGAAGCTGAAAATGTGTTTAACTTCATTCCCATCCATGCCCACCACACTAATCCAAGTAAGGCTGATGTTAGAATATGACAGGTTGATGTTGAGATGAGAATTTGTGATCATGTCTGGTGCCTGTACCTTCCTTCTGTTGTGTTTATTAACTTTGATTATTGAGCTATATTTGGATATTATACATAGGGATGCACCGACACCAGTATCAGGTTTGATACCACCCTCTAGTACTTGTACTCATAAAACCCGCTTGATACTGCACATTAACACCACTTAATGTTTTTAACCCCACAGTGGTTGAGCAGCTTGTTAGACAGGGGATGAGGATTTTTTGAGATGTTTGAAGAACTGACAACAACAGTAAAGCCGACTGCAAAGCTCCACTCTCTGTCCATCAGGGGTGAGAGGAAGGGAGGGGCGCTCAGACACAGATAACGCAGTTGAGATGAGGCTGTATACTGATGACGACAATGTCCAAAATACTTTGTTTAATCACAATCAGAAAGTAAACAAGATCTTATGAAAATAAAAATGCATTCTGAAGTCACTGCACTTTTATAGTCATTTTATAGTAGAAATACTGTTAGTACTAAATACGTGTATCAGTACTCAGTATCGGCAACTACTCAAATTAAAGTACTTGTGCTCTGTCTAATAAAAAGTGGTGTCAGTGCATCCCTCATTATGAAGGCTTCAGCAATCAGAGCCGAAGCCTTGCTCAATGTGAATCAGCTGCAGAGCCGCAGCACTGCAGTTTCACACCTGAAGATCACACAGCTAAAGTCCAGTTAAAGTTAAGGTGAGAGTGATGTGAACTTTAGACCACAAATAAAATCTAGGGATGCACCGATACCAATACCAGTACCGGGTCCGATACCACCACTTGTACTCTTAAAAGTTGTCTGATAGTAACGACACAACATAATGGCGGCATTACATCAATCTCACACTGGCTGAGCCATTCATTAGGCTGGGGAGAAGAAACTTCAGTGGTTCGAGGATATTTTATGTTAACAATGACACAAGTAAAGTCGACCGTGAGCTCTGATTCTCTGCGCTACTGTGTATCTGTGAGCGCCCGTCCCTCCCCATCTCACACACATTTTACAGAGATGTCAACGCTCAATATGTGCAGCAAAAGCAACAGTAATGGAGACAGTAATTAATCAAACACTTGCTGAACATAAACTTGCAGAAATGCAACATCTTTACTCTCCCATGGTCAAAATGTCTGGCCATGTTCACCCACTAAACCCGTATGGTGCCCATCATGCTGACTGTTGTGGACTGTTGAGAAGAAAAAAACCAAACAAAACAAAACAACAAAACACTCATTTTATGTAGTTAACAGCGGAGTCTGATGACCTCTGTATGAAAATGAGTTCTTGTGGATGTGGAGGCTGAGAGCAGCAGCAGTGCATGTATGTGTTCAGCAGAGAGGACAGGATGGAGCGACAGGCAGCAGCCAGTTTAAAGAACATATACCCTTAATAAATTAAATAGTTCAATAGCTGACTGTGATATTATGTGTTCCTGAACATGCTGTTCTGGGCTGGGCTGTGAAATGATTTCTTCCTAAGGGCTGCACTCCGACAAAGGCTAAAAATCAATGTATTACAGGATATTATGTAGCAGGCGACCAACCTTATATTCAACAGGAATGGCAGCAGTGCTGTGGTTATCACATTTTATTTAATCACAGAAAGTAAATCTCATGAAAATAAAAATTGTCTCAAGTTTTTTTTTTTATGGTAATTGTCATTTTTGTAATAGAAACACTGCATTATTATTAATTGATTGTATCAGTGGGTACTCAAATGTAAGCACCTGTACTTGGTCTGAAACAAAGTGGTATCAGTGCATCCCTAATAAAATCCAATTCAAGAGGAATGCTGGGAGATAAATGTGTGGAACTGCAGGTCATAGGTGGGTGATTGTAACAGTGATCAAAGTAGCGTAACATTTTTATTAATAGGCCCCAGACAGCATGTTTTTTTTGTCCTGGTTGCCACAAGTAATACTGAGTTTTTAATGCATAGTTTAGTGTATGCATTAAAATTTAAAACATTTTGTGCAAAAGCTATTTTGTCCTTTGCAACTTCTACAGCTGCATCATTGAGAGCATCTTGACCAGCTGCATCACTGTCTGGTATGGCAGCACTACTGCTATGGACCGCAAGCGCCTGCAGAGAGTGGTAAAGACTGTGGAGAAGATCACTAGGACTCCACTGCCCTC